ATAATCGTTCCGGTTTTTATACATTGTGTTCTTTATATTCCCCGTATTTCATAACAAAAATAATGTTTTTTGTAGTCTTTATAACACAGTTGCGTGGTTTGTAAGATAAGCCTATGACATAAATACTTTAGATTATAATTAATTTTGGTTTGCTAATATATATTATTTTTTGTAGCCAAGCCACGGTATCCGCAGCTATGCCCGACTAATCCATTGGTCGATTCGAGTCGCACACCTGACAGTGGTGGGTGAGTCTCCGAACAAGAGTTTTCTGCATTCACAAGGACTCAAATCCAAAACCTTGCTTAAGCGACATCAATCTGTTTGCCATTTTAAAAACCCTGTTGGTTATTTTGATAATATTTGGTTACATTAAACATGAATAACGAGAATAAGAATATAATTGGCAACTGGAGTTTCTTTCCCAGATGCTTTTGGAACATATGCTTCTTGATTTTTGAAGTTACATCATATTGAGCAACTTTTTCTATTATTTTATCTGCCTAAAGGAATCAGATGCCTGTGTGCATGTAATATATATTTTTCTTTTGCCTCCATTTTATTTTTCATTTTTTTTTTTTGGTACAGGGACCTTCCGGTTTCCGGATCCACATGGGAATCGACTAATCCGGAATCGAGCCGGGTAGGACCACAAGGGTTGCAAAGCTCTCCCTCAAGAGTTTTAACACTGCTGTATTCCCAGAGCTTGAACACGAGACCACTGGTTAAGCTGGAAGAGACCCAAGCCATCTCATCCAAGCGCTCTTGGGTATTTTATTTGGGCAATGCTACATGTACAATTGTAGTTTACAACATTAGTTGACAACATAGTTAAAAGTACTATTAACTTAAATCTTAACCATACATTTATTTACACCTCAACCACCAACATTGTGCCACATCATGTTGTCATTGAATGTTGTACAAAAAACTTGTACAAGTAGCTTTTTCTATTTTATTTTTCATTTTAAAACCCCTACAAATTAACTATGCCATCAAAATTGTTAAACTTGTCACTATTCTAATGAAACCGTTTTTTTCCCCCTAGCTAGTGCTTCCCTTATTTTGTCTTAATTGGCATTGCCACGGTAAGAAACATGGGCAAAACGAGTGGCAGATGAAGCGCACCAAAGACAGGGAAAGCCCAAATAAAGCTTAAGTGAGATTATATCCCAAAATTAATTGGTGGAATGAGAAGTAGCTCACTAGACTTATAAATTAGGTCTATTTTCCCTATAAAAACGATGGGGGTACAAACTCACAAGTGAATATTTTAATATCCAAAGCGGGTCGATTCGGGATCTGGTAGATTCAAATCCAAATTCTGACTCGATATAGATAGGTCAACAAGCGACTCAATCAAATTTAGAGTGATCTGATCAGAATCAGTTGTCATGTCTTGACCTGGACTCGTATAACATGGTTGTGATCCTGACCTGACTTGTTTTATAAAAAAATATATATGATTATATTCATTTAAAATAATTGTAACGGGTTTCTATCAGAAGTAAATAAAAAATGGGCAGGAAACATTATTCATGATCATAGGGTGGATTAATGTGAAAAAAAATAAAAAATTATAATAGTATATATGTATGTGATATACACATACATATATATTCTCATAAGTTTCATATTTTATTAAAAAAAAGTCCTAATATTCTCATTGCTCCTCATGTTTGGACGTGATTTTTTTTTTTTTTTTTTTAAAGTTATTTTTTGGTTTCACTTTCCTTTTCAATAGCTTGTCTTTAAGCATTTTAATATTAAAAGTATTGGGCCATGAGGTCATAGAACGAAATTGGGCCATAAGTTTGGACTCGGCAGAGTGGGCCGAACAAAAACTGGTCGATCCAAAGATGGGACCTTAGAACCTGTCATAACCCATTTGTTTAACAAAGAAATATGTACTTATTACATGAAATTTTATCATGAAATTTTAGTATGAAAGTCACGTTGTTGAAACCTTCACATGGTCCTCCTGCAATGAGCAATGGCTGTCTCAATCGAGCGCTCGATCTACAAAACGAACTTGTGGAAAAAATATAAATAAATGAACTGCAACATGACATGTAACAAAACCGAACTCAAATCCGAAGCGAAA